ACAACCAAAACTCAGCTAACACATTCTGGGGTGAAGTGTAAAATGGTACAACCACTTTGGACAATAATTTGGCAATCTCTTATAAAATTAAACATACATTTACCTATAACCTGGCCATTCCATTTGTATGTATTTACCCAAGAGAAATAAAAATACATGTCCCAAAATAGACTTGTACAAGAATATACACAGCAGTCTTATTCTTAGTACCGAAAACTATGTAATTCAAGAGTCCATCAATAGGAAAATGGATAAACCAATTGTGGTATATTTATACAATGGCAATTAAAAAAAGGAATTACTGATTCACATAACATCACAGATGAATGTCAGATATGGTAAGTCATAGAGGACTTGGATAAAAGACTACACAATGTATGATGCCCAAACAGACAAAACTAATTTACAGTGGTAGAATAGTAATCACCTCAGAGCAGAGGGTTAGGATGATAGGGGTGGATGGTAAATGGTGTGGAAATAAACTATAAAGAAGCAAGACATAACTTTCTGGAATGATGGCAATGTTCTATACCTTGAAAGGAGTTTGGGTTAAATAGGTGTACACATTGTTAAAACTCAGCAAATGTGCACTCATGGTATATGCATTTCATTTCTGTAAATTTTACCTCAAAAGAAAAATCCTGTAAACAAATATTAAATTCCAGTTGATATGCATATTGAAATATTTCATAGAAAATATACCAATATATGCAATATACTTTGAAATGTATTAAAAGAATAAGATAACTAGTAAAGAAATGAAAGGCTAGAGGGATAGAAATAAAATGTTAATGGTAGAATCTAGGTGGAAGCATATGGGTCATTCGCTATAGAAATTTGAGAAGGAATTTTAAGTTTTCTTATATCTCCTGATAACATTAAGTACCAACCTTGGTTTTTACATTCATAAAATTCACCATTAAGAAATTCTTGATTCTCAGTTAACCAATGACCAATTGCCATTCGATCTGTAGTGAATTTACCGGTAACACAAAGATATGTTAATTGGAGGAAAGAGAAGTTTAATAAAGTGATTTACAAACATATAGTGTTAGTTGTAGTTCTTCAGAAAATGAAGTTCACATTTGAGATAAATCTTTTGCTTTTACCAAGTTTTCTGAACCACCCAAGCCCATCTGGCAATAGTTTTTCTTCTTCAAAATTTCTTTCTACCACTTGGGGACACTTCATGTTCAGCATCAATGAAAAACAAATCTACTATGCTCCATTGCACATCAGAGTAACTGATGTTTTTTTCTTTAAGTTATCATTTGAAAAAATTGGAAACTATTTCCATAATTAAATGGTTATGGGAAAACCTCATAATGTTCAGAGCCTATGAAAGTTTAAGCAAAATAAAGGAAAACATTAACTAGCTTTTCTAAGCCATCAAAATGGTTTGGATTTGGTCCCAATTTGGGGTGAAGATCAGCAAAATTCATTTATCTGGTGGAAATTTTTTAAAACACATATTTATTAAATATTTATTACACTCCCAGAACAAACCTAAGAAAAAAGATTACCATTAATAAGAACTTTTGTAGATTAAACAGGCACCTCCAAAGCTGGTTCTAACTCTGGGAAACAAACCAGGGCACAACTAACACTAAAAAGACAAGGAATTTCTAAGATCAAAGAAGTCAGAGGGCTTCAGGGTCTTTTGTTTACAAATATATTTAAAAAAGACTTGCCTAAAAAGATTTAAACAGTCCCTAAGAGAATAAGCATGCAATTACATCTACCTCCGAGAAAATATTAATATATAATACTTAAGTGAAATGGACAAATTATACAATAATGTAAACCCTAAAACTAAAAAAGAAATAGAGAAATTAAAATATTCCTATAGCCACTGAAGAAAGCAAATCAATCATTAAAACACATACACACACAAGAAAACACCTAGCCCAAATAGTTTAACAGAAGACAAGAAAAAAAGAATAAACCTTGCCCCCAGTTCATTTTATGTAGTACAACCTTAATGTCAAACCCAGACAAAATCAATATTAAAAAGGGTAATTACAGATCAATTTCATTCATAATAAATGTAAAATGCACTAAATGAAATATTGCCAAATTAAAAAGTTTGTTTTATGAACACATGGTTAGTTTAACAGTAGAAAAATCTGTCAATTTACTTTAGTAAAAACTGAAGGAGAAAATGGTATAATTATCTCAATAAATGCAGAAAAAAACATTCAATAAGGTTCAATGAGAATTCATGAAAAAAAACTATTAGTAAGCTACAAATAGAAAAGAATAACTTGCACTTTATAAAGAATGTCTGTAAGAAACCCACAGCAAACATCATGTTCAATGATGAAACATTAAAATAATTTTCTGTAAAATCAGTAACACTTGCAAAATGTCTGTTATTTCCATTTACAATATTTACTGGAGGTTTTGGGCAGTGTGTATGAACCTACAAACCAGACATACAAACACACACACAATATAGACAATTTATAAGAAAGAAATAAAATGCCACTATTTTATTATTTATATAAATTGTCTTCATAGAAAACCCCAAAGAATCCATCCATTTATAAACTACTAGAATTAAAGGGTTTAAAAAGGTTTTTTCTATTATCAGATCACTATGCAAAAGCCAACTGCATGTGCACATATCAGCAATAATGTTAAAATCAGTCAGTTTTTAAATCATTTATAATAATTAAAAATACAAAATTTAATCATAACTAAATTATGAAGAATAATTCTGTCAACAAATACATGCAAGATCCTTATGAAGAAAACATATTATTCAAATATTAAAGAAACCTAAACAAATATAGAGAAGTATCATGTTCATGGGTAATAAAATAAATTAACTTAATGATGTCAATACCTCTCCAAAACCAATCCATAAAACCCATGCAATTACAGGATGAGCATCCAAATCCAAAACCTGAAAATCCAAAGTGCTCCAAAATCTGAAATTTTCTGAGCACCAACATGATGCTCACAAAAAACCAAAAGCCCACTCATAGGAGCATTTCAGATTTTTGGATTCAGGATGCTGAATTGAATTAATGCAAATATTCCCAAATTTGAAAAAAAACCCCAAATCACTTCTGGTTCCATGTATTTTGGAGAAGGGATACTGAATCTGTATCTTAAAATCCCATTAAGTTTTCTCACAGAACTTGAAAAGCTGATTTTAAGATTTATATGGAAAGAATATGACCAAGAAAGTCAAGGAACTGCTGAAGAAAACAAAGTTGTTCAGTAGAGGGCTGGAAAACTTGACTTAGTAGACATCAAAAATTATTTTAAATTTATATTAACTAAGATTATAAATTTGGCTGTGGAATAGAGTTCAGAAAGGAAGCCACACATATACAGAAATCTGATATACTATAGAGATGGCACATAGATCAGTGGGAACAGGATGCATTATTCAAGAAATGTGTAAGGATATTGGAAAAAGTTAAATTATAATATATCTCTTACAACACAAATAAAATTCCAGATGAATTAAGAATTTAAATGTGAAAGTCAAAACACTTAAACTCGTAGAAGAAAAAGGATGGAAATATGCTAATAATCTAAGGGTTGGGAAGAATTTCTAAAAAATAACACATTAAAAGTACTAATCATAAAGAGAAAAGAAATTTAAACCTCAAAATTAAGAATTTTAGTGCACCAAGAGACATTATAAAGGGGTTGAAAAGATGTAACTAAGAGAAAATATTTACAGCATTTAACAAATGATTAATATCCAGAATATATAAAGAACTCCCATAAATTAATTGGAAAAAGACAACAATGGAAAAATATATAAAGCCAAACAAAAAAAAGGTATTTTACCTAAAAGGAAAGATAAATGGGTCACAAATATATGGAACCTCTTTGGTAATTAGGGAAATACAAATCAAAAGGACAATGAGGTACCCAAGTGTTGTCTAACACATGAAACAATAGGAATTCTCATATCCTGCTGGTGGAAGCATAAACTGCTTACTACTATTCTGGAAAATATTTTGGCATTAGTAAAGCTGAACATAAATGTATTCTATGATGCAGAAAGTCCATACCTAGAAGTACCCTAGAAAAAACTCCTATACACATGTACCACAACACATATACAAAAAGGTACTCTCTTAGCTAGGTGCAGTGGCTCACACCTATAATCCCAACTACTCAGGAGACTTAGGTAGGAGGATCGCTTGAGCCCAGGAGTTCTAGGCTGCAGTGAGCTGTGATCATGCCACTGCACCCCAGCCTGGGCAACAGAACCAGATCCCGTTGCTTAAAAAAAAAAAAGAAAGAAAAATGTATTCTCTTAGTTAATGGGTTCAAAATTAAAAATTAACTCTGAAATGTTTCATTCAAAGTCACACAACATATACTCATCATCCAAAACTAATGTTTATGGGACATGTATTCTTTTCATGGACTTCTTATTCATTAATTGCTAAATTCATTAATAAATATCAATAATATTACCCTTCTATAAATGAGAGATAAAATATACCTGACAAGTCACTTTTTGACATAGCATGAACAGCTTTTTGTTCACACTGACAGGCATATGTACTTTAATCACCAAAGACTATATCAAGTATTTATAAAAGTAAATCCTTTTTGAAGATTATTTCAATTTAATCAGGATTAAAAGGAAAGAAAACTTTTATCCTTATCATCCTTGAGTGAAATAACTTCATTTTTAATATCTTTCTTAATCAGAAAATACATAGAAGGAAACAATAATACAGAGAGAGCTTGATGTCCTGTGGCCTTCCTTAATAACAACCCATTTTCAAGAGACTATAATCTATTCAACAGAAAGCATTCTACCAAGGATCTTAATCAGATTGAGAAAATTCATACTCAAAATAAACAATATTCCACTAAAACCAAAACAATGTAGGTATTAGCAGCTATACAAAAGGTTAGCCTCTCAATCTGATGAGTCATTTCTAAAAGGATGAAAGCATAATTCTTTGACGTGCTTTCTATTCAAGCTGAAAAATATATAAAGGTAAAGAATTGTTTACCAAGCAGGTTGACTGAGATATTTTTCTTCATTTTACACATCCTTGTTCGACTCTATGCGAACATCAAACTAAGAATGGCAAAAATGAGTCGCTCTTCCTATATACTAATACTAACTTTTGCTTTGTTTTCTCAAGGTATTTTATTTTCAGCCTCCAAGTCCATAAGAAATTTAGAAGATGACATGGTATTTAATACATTTAGGCTGGGAAAAGCCTTTCAGAAGGAAGATACTGCAGAAAAATCAGTCGTTGCTCCTTCCCTGGAACAATATAAAAATGATGAGAACAGTTTCATCAACAACGAGGAAAACAAAAATTCAAAGGTAAGTGGCAATATGACCAATGTGACTTGTCGTTTATTTCAATGGAAATTTAAATGGTTTTTATGAATTTTCCAAAAAGTAAAATTGATACTATTTTATAAATAGAAGTATATGCAAATAGTCACAGTATGCATAAAAACGACTGATGATATTTCATACATACCAGGTGGTTCCTTCCATCCTGGAAAATTACTCTTATACAAAAAAGTTTTTTTTCCAATAAACTTATATCTGAAGTATTTTTAAAGAGTCAAAAATGGTGCAAAGCACCTCTGAATTGAGCAATAAGAATATTAAACAACATTATAGTTCTATTCCCAATAAGACAGCTAAAAAACAAATCAACCTTCTCTTTACAGAACACAGGCTTCAAACATAATTTCTTAAATCGTGGTCTGCCACTGAATCTAGCTATAAAACCTTATCTTGCACTAAAAGGATCTGTAGCTTTCCCAGCTGAGAATGGAGTTCAGAATACTGAATCAACACAAGAAAAGAGAGAAATTGGGGATGAAGAAAACTCAGCTAAATTTCCAATAGGAAGGAGAGATTTTGACAGTGAGTAGTTTTTTTAAAACTTAATTCTTACATCTTAAAATAGAACTCTTGAGTTTAACTGAATTTGGATCCAATCATAACAAAATAAAATAAGACCATGGTTCCATTATAGTTGATATTAAGTGACACCTACCAAAAATGTGGGATTAAAAACATTTAATTAAGTCAGGTGTGGTGGTGATGTGCCTGTAGTCCCAGCTAATCGTAAGGCTGAGGCAGTAGAGTCCCTTGAGCTCAGGTCAAGACCCACCCGGGCAACATAGCGAGACCGACATCTCGTAAACAAACTAACAGTAAAAATGCATTTAATTAGTTATTATAATTTTGTTTTACTCAGAATTAGTTTTACTAGATGCATTATTTTTTTTCTTAATATATATTGTGTGATAATTATAGTCCTTTAAACAATTTAAACTTTTTTCCCCCTTCAGTGCTCAGGTGTATGCTGGGAAGAGTCTACCGACCTTGTTGGCAAGTCTGATACCTGTTGGTCCACATCATCTTTCAAGAAGATAACAAAAGCATTTAATTGCCAGTGGGAGGAAAAGCCCTTAATGTTACTCTAACTTGTGTATTATTTTAAATGTCTGTTTTAAATGAAAGCAGTGTTAAGATATATCAGTAACCTGAATGATATGCTTTTTCTGTGTATTAAACTTTGGTGAAAATCCTGCATAATTATGACTTACTAGTATTTTTGAACAATGCTTAACATACTAACCATACTAACCTTACATAAACTCCAGACCAAATAATAGAGCATCATCATTTACACCTTAATATCTTAAAAATTAAGTGTCTCTTTGGTGAATAGTTTAAATATGTATAAATCTAAAGCACATAAAGACAAATTCATAGTCTAAAATACTCAGTTAACTTTGTCTGGCCAATAATCAACTTGTCCTTGGCGGTACACTTTCTACCTTTTCCTACTCTGGCTAGTTTGCATTCCAATTTATTATGTGAATTGTTTGATGTCTTAGGTATCTTAACATTTTTATGTTGAGGTGGGTCATTTCCATTATCACAGAGAATGTTTTCACCGTCCAAATCCACCTGTTTCCTTTTTGAGGTTTTATTTCCTGTCTGACTACTTGATTTTCTTGATAATTTTTCATTTTCACTCCTGTCCAGATGAACATTTCCAAAACTTGTTCCAATTGTTGATCTTCCAACAGGTGAATTAATACCCTCTGTTATGCAAGAGGAAAAGGGGAAGGGAATTATGTAATATTTAGTATATTTCTCATGAGAATTTTACAACAAACTTCTAAAATGGCTAAAATGTACTCAAAAACTTAAAGTAAAATAATGCTATAAATTATATGATTAAAAATTACAGCGACATTACTATCACATTACTTTTCATTTTACCATACCACCTCTCTCATCCCTACCAACAAATATTTGTTTGAAGGCATGACATTTAGTCCTTAAACAAATGCTACAAATCATTTAGTTAAATCAAACTGTGTCCTATTCCTATCCATAAATTTGTACTTATATTTAATGTTTTAAATAAACTCATATCTTTAAAAATATAAATCTTTACATTTCATAGTACTTTGCAATAATAATCTAGTTTTACTTAAAATTAATTAGTAGACAAAAATTAAATTGTTGCTTAATTACTCAAATAAGGTCAATTACCAGAAAGGGCATTTTCCATGTGAAGAACATACAAAGGTTTTGATGCTGAATTAACATTATTCCAATCATCCTTGCTTATCATGTAGTCATCTTTATAAGTACAAGCAAACTGGGATCTAATTAAGGTCTGTTTCATCTGATAACAGAAAGAAAGAAGAAAATATGCAATTTATTCATTATTTTGATTTGTTTTTTCATCTAGATAGATATATACTCTATAGTAACCAAGGTATCATATAAAATTTCCCTTAAAAATTACATTATTCATTGAGAACTTTTAACCCTTTATTTTTCAGTTTATAAACTCATTCATTGCTATCACTACAATTTTTGTTCTTTTCTGCAAAACTAGCTTTATGTATATTTATAACTTTTTGTAAAAGGTATCAAAAAACTAACTTTACACTCTTCATAGGCCTCTGTTACATATTCCTGTGTCTGGGCTGCTTTCGAGAGCAAGTTTTATTATAAGGAAAATAATACACACAATATACACAATCACAGAAAAATACAAGTTCTTCATTCTAAGAAACACACAGAACACAATTCTTTTGGGAAAAAAAATAGCATAGGAAAGTCAATAAATTGGAGAAGGGAGAAATGCTAAAATGAAAAAAAGAAATAAGACCGGTCAAAAGAAATAAAAACAGAAAACTAGCCAAGTAACCGTAAGATAAAACAAAATGGTGTTGAAAAGGCATTATTTCTTGAGTATTTAGGAAAACAAGAAAGATAATTCAAATATATTATTCTAGAAAAATTTGACCAATTGATTTAATGGTCAAAAATTCAAAATATACCCTTCCATTTATCTTCAAATAACAAGATTTGAAGTGGGGCCTAAATTTCTACATATATAGGAGAATTTTCGAAAGATAAATGTAATTCTTAACCATTGAAAAGGGTGCCAAAAAAGTAATTTTAGAAATGTATTCTGCAAACATAAAACCAGTGAGCTGTTTTAAGGGTAGAAATTAATTTGGAACAAAGTAGCCTACATAGACAACTCAAATTTCAACAATTATAGCCGAGGAATAATACTATTCAAGTATAATGGGGAGATTTCTCCAAATAATTAGGAGTCATTTCAAACCCTTTCCAGAAATGGACAAACTTTAAATTTAAAATAAAGGATTCAAAAAAAAAAATTTTAAAAATAAAATAAAATAAAATAAAGGATTCAATAAAAAGGGCTTCAACAACTCCAAAATGTGGCACTTCAAAGTATAACTACATTATACTGAACATTACTTACACAGTAGTTATTGATATAGTTCATGAAATCTAAAATTGCACAGCTTTACATTATAGATTCAAGAGTTATATATCATGTTATATATTCAGAGATCAGCACATTGATCTATTCAGTTGTTTGCAAAAATAATGGCAATGAAATCCACTGACTATGGTTTACAAGAAATTAGAATAATCTCCTGTACAGCCACTTCATAAAGCAAGTTTTCTTAAAATAAATTTTCTATCTTTCTGACAATGGAGTCTGTGAGAGTCTCCATCTCTCAGATCACTAAAAATTATGTTTCATGTGCTTGAATGAAATACTAGATAATTAGAGCTTATCTTGTATCTAAGCACAAAAATGCACAATTGAAAAAAATGTGAAAATGTACAAGATCAAAAAACTATCTTTTTTAAAAAAGTGAATCAGAAGAGACTCTTAAAAATGAATGGGACTACAATTCACTACTTCCATGAATCCCTATGAACAAAACTCCTATTATACAGCTTCCCCCATGAGATGCCCTAAAATATAACTGAAGGTTTTAAGTAGCTCTTTCTAGACTTTATTAATCCTAAAAATATTCTATAAATAATAGTAAGAATCCTTGCTAATTCTTAAAGCAATTAAAGCTATTAAAATAGCTAATAAAGCTATTAAAATAAATTTTATTAATAAAACGAATTCTATATTATATCATTACTGTAATGACAATTCCATGAACTTTATTACCATTGTAAAACCAGTACTAACCAATGACATTTTCTTTTCATACATTTATTTCACCATAGTTATTGCTTACAGAGAATTATAAACTTATTGCTTATAAAAAGTTATAAAAAATATGGTAAGACCATGCAGGCAAATAGATGCTAATGGCTGGCTTGGATTACTTCCTTTGTACCCAGATAGTGATGGCACCTATAGGTGGCTTAGGAGGTGTTAGCCTCCCATACTACAGTCTTCATCAGCACCATCCATGAAACACTCTAAAATAATAACTATATTATTTACTTGAGAAAATCTATATTTTCTTAATCTTATCTTTAGCATGAATAAAAACTTCTTCAGAAAGCTTTATTTTTATTAATTTTTAACACAATCTAAGTAAATACTTTTGTTTGCTATGTAAATACATAAATAAGTGCCACAGCTCTTCTTACAACTAGATTTCCTCTCTTCAGGCCCCCTATAGAAAAATTCTAGACCCCTCAGTGACCGTAGAATAACCTCAGAAAACTAGAGTTACAAGGCAATAGATTCCTAAAGTACTCAGAATAGATTCAGATGTAAAAGGAAAATAATTAACCATTTAATTTACCATGAAAAATTCTATTTATAAACTTATAAAAACATGAGAAAGAAACACAATAGTTCTATGTTGATCTTGGAACACATATTCAAAAGACATAAATAACTAAGAGTAGTTATACTGAGGGTTTTTTAAAAAAAGATTATTAATACATATGTGATTTATTTTCCCTGCCCTGTACAAAAATCTCTTTTTTATCAATTACCACTTATTATGTTCCAACTATGTGATAGGTGCAGTATACTAAAGAGATCACTAGAATGGCTTCTATAATCACACAGACACTCCACTTATAAAATTTGCTGTTGATATACAGCTGGAAAGAATAACAAGTAAATTGGGCAACAGAATCAAGATTGAAGATTGCTCAGAAGGCTAGAACCATAAGTAGAAAATAATAAGATGAAAATGGCTGGGGATAAAGAAAGTCTTGTATTTAAGTTCAAAAATAACAATTACAGATGTATAGGATGAGGAGAACCTGACTTAAAAAAAACATATAAAAAAGACCTAGAGACTTTAATTGATCATGAACTTGACTAGAGCCCATCGTGTACTGTTCAGTTAAGAAAGCAGCATAAAAAATACACGATGATGTGATAGGAAAAGTACTAGAATTGCAGTCAAAAGACCTAGCTTCTAATACTAGCTTTTTTACTTATTAACTAAATAATCTTAGATAAATCACTATGCCTCATTTATTCTACACATAAATGGGAATAATATATACCTCAGAGAATTATCAGAATTATATGAAGTTAAAAATATAAAAGGAATACATAAACTCTAGAGATCTATGCAGATACTATATAGTTATTATTGTAATAACATACATGAAGAGGGTATTCCCATAGGACTAAGATCTGTTGAATTAGATCTCTCAGGACCAGGCCAATTCTAAAATGATTCTAGGAATGCAGTTCAAAAAATGAACTTACAATCAGCTTCTTCATTTTAATTTTAAAACAATGCAAGCTACATTGGCTTATATTTATAACTTAAAAGAGATTGTTTTTCCTTTGTTCATAAAAGTTGAATTTTTCTGCACAAGATTAGTGGCTACACAGAACTGAGATGACTTCCTGTTGCAAATCTTCCAAATCTCTCTGTGTATTTGATTTGGAATCACAAATAAGCAAAACAATTCCCTCTTGAAAATGCTTTTGAAGTACTAAACAACTAAGAATAATGTCCAGATTCATACATGGCTGTTAAAATCATTTCATGTTCAAGTCACATGAGAAAAACGGATTGAAAGTTTTCCTTTGTAGAGTGATTTCCCCCCTTTGGAAAGATTTCTATCCACAGTAAAATTGCAATGAACTTCAAACTTGCCAAGAATTGGAAAAGTCCTTATGCCACAAGCTCTTTTTAAACTGAAATTATTAGTAAGTTCTCAGTTTAAGGAAAATAGTACTTCACACAGGAAAGCCTGACTCCAGTTAAATTAAGATGAATGAGTCAAAACAATGAAAAGTCATGGTCTCAAAGTTAGCCATATTAATAAGAAAACGAAAACTCAAAGTTCCCATTATATCAATAAATACATTAACAAATTTGAAAAAGAAAAGTATTCTCAATATACCTATTAAATATGTAACTAAAAATAAATATTCTAAATTTATCTTTTTATTCTTACATTATTACATTTCAACAGGAGAGAGATTTGGTATCCTTAACAGCATATGAATTTGTAAATATATCACATAATACATTTCTTCAACAGTAAAATTCCATTTACTCTGCTAAATAGCAGAAGGAAAATATTTTTGACCTAAGTAGTAACATTATCTTTTTATGACCTCTCATTATATTTACTATGCCTTTATTTACTCTTTGGAGATAACATAAAGTCTGGTATCCAAATATAAACCCTTGTTCTGTTAACTACTATCTGTATGGTCTGCAAAATGATGCCTTCTAGAGTTCAGATGGATTAATTGGGATGACAGCACACAAAATGTCCTGTATAAACACCTAACACTTAGTAGGTACTAAATAAATCCCCACCCTATTACTTCAGCCAAAATAAATTCAATTTTAGTTCAGTTTAACACAAACATTCCTTTTCATTCTAATGGAAAAACCTTGCTCACTCCCTTAAAGTCTTTGCTTAACATCACCTTCTCCTCAAGGAGATCTCTACTTATCATTCTACTTAAAACTAAATCACACACACAGGAACTCATTTTCACTAGCTTCCTCCCCAGCTTTATTTCACTCCACAGCACTGGTAAACTTCTAATATACCATATAATTCACTTGTTGTGTTTATTGTCTGCTTCTCTCAACTAAAATATAAACTCTAAGGGAACAGTAAAACCCTTAGCGTCTGGCAACTAGTGGCCAGCTCTGGCCCTCTCTTCCCTCCAGGCTAAAGCGTCCATACGGCCTCAGATATGCCCACCAGCAGACCATGACCCCCCTTTTAGATCCTGTTCCAGGTACCTGGGACCCCTGGGCACTGGCCTAGTGCTGCCCTCTTCCTCTAGGCTCAAGAGCTGACTGCTATGATAAGGGTGTTGAGGAGTAGAGTGAAGTGTCCTAAAGACTATGAAACAAAACCAGGCTTGAAGGTGGTTCTGGGGAAGGTCAGGGGCTTCTACTTACATTCTTGCACCTCAGCCACACAAGTATGTGGGGCTTAAGGCAGAGTGTTTTGTCTGTTTTGTTCACTGCGGTATCTCCAGTGCCTAGGACAGAACCTGGTATCCAGGAGGTACTTAATGTTTGTTGAATGAATTAATGAGGTAAAACTATAACAGAATAACAAGTGTATACAAGCAGAAGCTATGAGGGAACAAAAACTATGAATAAGTAAAAGCTTGGAGGTAGAAAATGATGTACAAGATAGACTCTATTTTCCTTAATATAAGAGTAAGGAAATTGTATGATACAGAAATGAGAGAAGTAGACTTGAAAAGAACAGCTAAATCACCCTAAAGACACACAAGCTTTGAGGTAGAAAAATAGGTACAGAGTAAACTCCACTATGTTCAATAGGGTAAAAAAACCAGTTGGTACGAAAACAAGACAGAAATAAATGTGCAGAGAAAAGCTAAATCACATTTAAGTACAAAGAACCAGGCAGCTGAAGTCCTTAAGCTGCTTTACAGCCACCATTAACTTTTAAGTTCTTAAATATTCTGCCTTGTTCAGGTTCTTATGTACATATCCTTACAGTAAATCCCCACAAAAAATTATTTCTTATAACCATAAAAGGCACACTTTCCTTATCCTTGCCCAACATTATTTATTCATCGTTATTTTGTACAGCCTCCCAACACATATTCTCTTTACAATAGCAAAGCAATTTAATACTTTGATCATCAGGTTGTTTGCTGAAATGCTCTATTCCATTTTGTCTGCCTATTCAAATCCTGTTTAATCTCTTGTGGTCTAAGCACCATCCTTCTTTCCATTTCCTCTACTTAATATGGGTGTCTAGTTATTGCATCTGTATGTATCTTTAATTCACTAGAACTATACTGTTTAATATGCTAGCCATGTTTGGTTAATTAAAATTAAATTTAAAATCCAGTTCCTCACCTACAGTGGCCACATTTTAAGTGCTTGATAGCCACATGTGGCTAGTGCCTACAGTAACAGACAGCACCAATACAGAACATTTCCATCACCACAGAAAGTTCTACTGGAGAGCACTACTCCAGAACAAAGCCGTAGAACCTATGTCCTGAGCAGATGGATTCTCAAAGAACTCTAGGACACTTTTTCATTTGCTGGGTCCATATATTTGGAACACATATGTAACTTTATATTTATAAAGGAAACCATGGATTTGTTTCCCCTGACTTCTGTTAGCTAATCATCTGATATGAAAAGACCAAACAACCTTTGGAAAAAATTACAATCAAAATATCTTCAAATATTGTTTCTACCCTATTTTCTCTTCTTATTCTGGGACTCCAATTTGGCATATGTTCAACTTTGTCCTTTACTCTTGTTCTTCTATTTTGCTTTTTTATTTTTTACTCTTTCTCTGTTCCAATTTGGAGATTTTTTTTAATGATCTATTTTCAAGTCCACTTGTCTTACCTAATGTAGTGTCTGGTTTGCTATTAAATTCACCTAATACATTCTTAATTTTAAATGTTTTTACAGTTCTGGAATGTTTATTTGGTTTTATAGATTTTAATTCTCTATTGGAATTCTCTAATTTTTGATATATTTGGAACATCTTTTCTTCGATCTACTTTTACATGTTAATTTCTTTTTAACTCCTTAGCAGCTAATTCCAACATTTGGATCATTGGAGAGTCTGCCTCTACTGTTAGTGTTTTCTCTTGATTAAGGGACAAATCCTCCTGCCTGTTTTCATGTCCAGTTATCTTATTTCATCCTGGATATTGCATATAAAGGAACTATAGAGGATCCAGATGATATCTTCCATCAAGAAGGGTTCTCCTTTTCTTTGTTAGGCAGACAGAGTGAAGGGCTAATAACCTCAATATAGCCAAGGAATGAGCTGGGTCAGAGCTGGACTGCAGCCTTCATAACTCACATTCAGCTTCTGGTTCTTACTTCCTTTTCAGGTATGTCCCTCGCAAGCTTTCAAGTGACAGCCTGGTGGGGATCTCTATTACCTCTGGCCTGAAAGTCTGGGGTATCCAGGCTATTTTTCAGGAGTTTTCACTCATTTCCAAATGTGGCAAATAGTATGAAAAAAGAGACAAGCCATATGTTGAACTAGGGCCCACTCCTCAAGCAGTCTTGTCTTCTAAATATCAAAAGACAACAGGTGATTTTAGTCTACCGTATTGAGGCTCCTGATCTCTCTCACAGCTACTAAATTCAGAATATGTGTCCTAGGTAAAATAAAAACTGCATTTAGGGCTCCTGAAATTCCAAACTGTTACCAGTCCTTCAGGATAACCAAAAGCTTTGTTGGTTTCTCTTCTTCAACAGAGTTATTTTATAAGGACCAACATCAATCCTCAGGTTATACCCAAAACTCACACACACACACAAAAATTTAGGGAACAAAACAGCTAATAATAGATTGCTCACCTGAAAAGGACTTTATCCTCTCCAGATTTTTAGTTTAAATTTCTTTGTTTACATAGCTCCCCTATGTTTTTAAAATATACTTTTCTCAATTTATCTGCCTTTTGTTCTCTTATTGTAGCAGGAATGGTGTTTTGTCATGACCTACTATATTCTGCTTAGAAACATAAGTCTCTAAGTCTGTGAGTGACTACTTGATTCTGTTCCTCCCTTTCTGAGAGCATTTTATTTTTGCCTCAGAGTTATATTTTAAAGGCTGCATGTTTTCTGCTAACTCTCATATTTCTGTAGCCTGAGGAACAGTAGAGGTAGAAGTAGAGCTCAGTTGAGGAGACAAGTATTCTGAAAAATTTTCCATGTTCTGCATTCTCTTCTAAGAGTTTATTACGTGTTATATATGCTATATGAAAGTTCACTCCATCTAGTTAGGGACTGCATTTCATTAAAATGGAAGGAGACAATTTGGATCATTTTCCCAATTCAGTATGTAGTACTAGAGCCTTCACTTCTCTCAGTGTGTAAGTCCCAGGTTCATTTTCTACATTTTGTCCACATTATTATCCAGTTGCCACTTCTACTTCTCTGACAAGTAAGGAAAATAATAAGAACACACACTTAGTTGGCTTCTCAGTTTTGAAAATATTAGTGGTAATTCTCAGAATTTTGCTAACTCATTAGTACTATATCTGGGAACTAGGACTAAATTAAGTTGCTAATTTATGCTATGTCTCTTCAGTCTGAAAGCTTCATTCTCTTTCCTTGGCCACCAATTTTGAAGTTCATTGCATCTGATTACATTATTCTTTGTTGTTGCACTTGGTGATTTTTTTATTAGTTTTTATTATTTTATATTCATTTAAGCATCAAGGGAAGAAATTTCTGTGAGTTAAACTCAATCCACTATTTTAATCTGGATGTACTCAGAGTTTTCTAATACCCTAAGGGTTAAATGTGAATATCTAAGAATTTTCTAATATCATGAGCATTGGACTGCCTGGCTGCTTATGAAAGTAATAGAGTTATGGCCAATCTAGTTTTTCACACTAAGTCCTGATTTTCACTGTCCCACCTGATCCATGTTATAAACAGCTAGTATTTTCCTGAATAGCTCACTTAAGTTATTAAGTGAATAAATGATGATTATTGTGATATACATGTAATATGGTAAAAAAACATTAGACTCAGAATGAAGAAACCACCTTCCAGTTGTGTCTGATGTGCAAAATACTTCTAAACTGAGCTGTAAAGAATAATTAATTTACAAGGATTTAAGGAGGTAGGTATAGCCTTAAAAATCTTTTAATAAAAAGATATAAGGGGACTTAATAACTTATTTAAAGTGCTTGGAAATTGGGGGTAAGAAATGAGGAGAAGATATTCTCTAAAGGCTCCTATAAAATCCACAAAGGTTCATGAAGAATCTTCTGTTTCCTTCATAGCAAAATTTATTTGACCACCATACACAAGTTTCCTAATATGCTACAGTAGGAAATAAAAGTTCAGGGCCTAAAATGAGTATGTTAATAAAGTTTCCAGAGTGGTTTCATAAAATTTTGTCATCAGAGGGGCATCTATTTCTATTTATGAAAGAGGAAACTAAAATCTAAGAAGGGTTAATTTGCCCCATAAAATAACATAAATATTTCACAATCAAGTATATAAAAATTTTAAGTTCTCTTATGTTTTCTACATTTGAAATGCTCATTCCAAGACAGCATTTCAAGAGTAGAGTATATATTATTTCCATCACTAAAAAAAAAAAAAAAATTTGTATGCCAAAAGAGCAAAAGTAATAGAGTAATAAGGTAAAAAACTGCTACTTTTCCATAGTTACTTTGGTAATAAATATTAGCAACATTTTTATGATTCTAACAAGTACTCTACCTGGGTATGGTTCATCTGTATACCTGGCTAAACTAATTATTTCCATACTTTGCTTTTATAAAGAGTACTATAAAACATAAACATCAATTATTTCCTTTCTCTATTGACATTTAGTTTCAGAGCTGTGTAGACTAAACCAGCTGTACTGCTAAGTAACAGAAGTAATGTAATTATAATCTTATCAGTATTTAATGATGGTTATGCAAACTGTTATAAAATATTTCATAGTAGTTATGAGATCTTGGATAAGGTGCTTTCTCAGAATTTTGTTTTCCACATCTGTAAATGAGACTGAATTTAAAATCATATGATCTCTCAAGATTCAGTTTAAGATATTAGAAATACAAACAAAAAAGCCATGTCATCTTTATTTTCCCCTTCATTCATTCATTCAGATATTTTTTCAACATTTACAATAGCAACTGCTGATACTTTCCCTTCTTTTAGGTCCAGTGGATTAAATAAGCCAGAAATAAATTAGTTAAGAGTGTACAAAAGAAAAGTCTCTGTATGTCAATTGTCACAACTCGTTTTCCACTTAAGTCCTACTGTGCCATACACAATATATATTTACAGTATCTAGCTCAGCTTTATATATTTGTTTCTTCTAAAAATAAAACAATGTTTAATATTTTCACAGCAGTAGATTAAATTATACCTTAACTTTTTTCTCTTGTATTGATTTATGGATACGTTCTCTTAGGGGCTTCATCAATGAATTATTCACTTGCGTGGGAGATCTATGTCCAAAAAAAAAGGCAAAGACTTACTGTAATGGTTTGAACATTTGTTCCCCTCCAAAATTCATGTTGAAAGTTAATTCCCCAATGCAGAACTGACACTCCTCAACTTATGATGGGATTACATCCCAATAAACCCATAAATTGAAAATATCATTAATTCAAAAATGTATTTCATACACTTAACCTACTAAATATCATAGCTTAGCCTAGCCTGCCTTAAACATGGAATTAGTTGGAATTAGTCCATTCCAATGTTAATTGGGCGAAATCATCAGGCAATACAGTATACTGTAGAGTATCAGTTGTTTACACTCATGATTACATGGCTGACTGAAAGCTGCAGCTGGCTTCCACTGCCCAACATCATGAGAGGGTATCATACTGCATATTGCCAGCTCAGGAGAAGACCCAAATTTAAAATTCGAAGTACAGTTTCTATTGAATGTGTATAGTTTTCATACCATTGTAAAGTCAAGAAATCATTAAGTCAAACCATCATTAAGTTGAGGACCATGTATAGTATTAAGAGGTGGGGCCTTTAGAAGGGAATTAAATCTTAAGGGCTCAGCCCTCATGAATGGAATTAGTGTCCTTATGAAAGGGATTCAGGGAGCCTGTTTGGTCCTTCCACCTTTTCAGTTATGTGAAGATGCAGCAAGAAGGTATCATCTATGAGGAATAGGCCCTCAGCAGACATTGAATCTGCTGGCACTTTGATCTTGGACTTCTACCCTTCAGAACTGTGAGAAATGAATTTCTGTTATTTACAAATTATCCAGTCAAAATAGGTATATAATAAAATAAGTATATTTTGTTATAACAGCCTATTTTATTATAACACCCTAAAACCAACTGAGATATTTATAAACCATTAGCTTTGAAACTAGCACACTCCCCTTCCCTACCCCATACCACAGTTATAGAATAAAGGACAATTGAATCTACTTATATATAATATAGTCATGTACTGCATAATGATGTTTGGTCAACAACAGACTACATACATGACAGTGATCTCTTAAAATTATAATGGAGCTAAAAATTTCTTATCACACAAATCATTACCACTTACCACTGTGTATTTCTTTACACTATTCAGTACAATAATATGCTGTACAATTTTGTAGCCTAGGAGCAATAGACTATAGCATATAGTTTAAGTGTGTAGTAAGTAGTTCCATCTAGGTTTGTGTAAGTATACTCAATGTTCACAAAACAACGAAATCATCTAGCAACACATTTCTCAGAATATATTCCCATCATTAAACAATGCATGCCCCTACTTCATAAAAGTGCCAGTATTCCTATTCTGAGAGTCCTAAATATTGTTAATTTGCTTCATTCATTAATCCAATAACTAAATATTTCATGAGCTTCTACTATTTGTAAGGCATTTTACAAGATACTATGGAGGATAGAAAGTTGATTCATTCACTGGTCTTGTATTCAGGCATCTCAAACTCTAAGTAAGAGAAATAAGGCAGCCACATTACTAAAATTCAAAGAGCAGGGGAATTCAAAAGAATAAAACATAGAAATAGGAGGGTCAGAGAAAGCATGATGGACGAGACCCTTGAGTTTTAAGGTCAGCAACTTGTATACCTTAATAAATTAATCCCTTTTGGCTTAATAGAGCCAGAGTCAGAACATCCTCAAAAGACTATTATATAAGAATAAAGGATACTCTATCCTAAGAAAGAATAGTTGACAACCTTACATTGACTTGAATTCATATACCTCATTGTTTTTAGTTTTATCATTTCAGTTTACACCATTAAAACTTAACCAAGTAGCAGCACTTGTCAGCACAATGACAACTGGAAATGCTAATGTAGAATCCAAAATGTAAACAATTGAAATGTGTTTGGTCACATGGTTAAGTATAGAAAAATCTCTTTTTAAAATAGACTCTAGGATTAATTTTATTTTAAAAAATTCAATTCTACAAAAAGAAAATAACTTTCTCTAAGAAAATGGTAGAACTTCATCTGAGAGAAAATTAAAATCATTTATATTTCTACCTAAAAGCAAACTTTGTTAAACCGAAATAAAGTAAAAACAACAACAACAAAAAGAAAGGTTCATTTCCTTTCTACTGTTTTCTGGGATTCCAGCACAGGGTATAAGTAAATCACTAATAAAACTTTTCATTATTAGGAAAATATTTGGGTATTTTGAGGTAGAATGTAGAAGAATTATTTCATGCTCAGATATAAAAGAATAGTCATGGAAAGCTAGTAAAGAAGATGAGAGTTAAAGACATTAGATGACAACACAGAAATGATAGACCATTATAAGGTTTCTCTGTAAAGAGAAGAGAAAGGAAACTGAGGCACAGGAGAGAGAACATGAAGCAATCATGAATGGATATGAACTTCAGACTGAAACCAGCTTTCTAAAAAGTAGCTCCAGTAGAAAACAGAAAAGATCAAATTGTGGGATGATTCTGTGAAAATTCCTTACAATGCACCAAATACAATTCAAAATGGTTGTTCTAAAATTTTTAATGTTTCTTGGCCGGGCACGGTGGCTCACGCCTGTAATCCTAGCACTCTGGGAGGCCGAGGCAGGTAGATTGCTCGAGGTCAGGAGTTCGAAACCAGCCTGAGCAAGAGTGAGACCCTGTCTCTACTATAAATAGAAAGAAATTAATTAGCCAACTAATATATATAGAAAAAATGAGCCCAGCATGGTGGTGCATGCCTATAGTCCCAGCTACTTGGGAGGCTGAGGCAGAAGGATTGCTTGAGCCCAGGAGTTTGAGGTTGCTGTGAGCTAGGCTGATGCCACAGCACTCACTCTAGCCTGGGCAACAAAGCAAGACTCTGTCTCAAATAAATAAATAATAAAATTTTTAATGTTTCTTAAAGTGAATGTTCCCTTAATCAAAAATACCATCAACCTACTCAATGACTTAATTTTTATTGTTGAAACTGGAGAATATCTGCTATAGACTGCATTGTATTCTCCCGAAATATACGTGTTGAAGCCTTAACCCTCAAATGTGACTGTATGTGGACACAGGGCTTTTAGGAGGTAATTAAGATTAAATGAAGTCATAGGGTAGGGTACTATTCTGATAGGAATGGTAGCCTTTTAAGTGGAAAGAAGGAGAGAGGGAGAGGGAGGGGGAGATAGAGAGAAAAAAAAAAAAAAACAGAGAGAAAAACATCTCTCTCCCTATGTGTACACATCAAGGAAAGGTCATGTGAGCACAAAGCAAAAAAGCAGTCATTTGCAACCTGAAGAGAAATCCCTGACCAGAACCTGACTGTGCTGGCATCCTAATCTAAGGCTTCCAGCCCACACAGAAAATAAGTTCTATTAAGCCACCCAGTTTATGATATTTTGTTATGGCAGCCTGAGTAAAGTAAGGCAGTATCGATATCTTACACTTAATAGCAGCACTAATTTAGCAAATATTTTTCCTCATAATGTGAGGAAGAACCAATAAATGTAAATTCAAGGTAAGTTTAATGTATATGATTCTATTCTTGGGCAGAATAGCAATGCTTGGAGCATAGGCCTCAAACTTTAGAGAAAGACACTCTTGCTACTTGTTAATTTAACTTTCTTGGATAAATTATTTAATATCTCTCAAGTCTCTAATTCTTCACTTATAAAGTGAGAACACTCTTAAAAGAGGCTGTTGTGAGGGCTGAGGTAATTTAACTGAAAACATTATGCAAAGTTCTTGACACATAGCACAGCAAATACTTTCAAAACAAAAAGCAATACTGAAATCATAAACACTTGCCATAGTCTCACTAAATACTGTTATATATATATAACCTTTTTGCATTCAAATGTTCGATCTACCTTCACCTAACTTGTTTTCTCTCCACATTTTTCTATAATTTCCAAGTTTCCTACCATAAGCATATACCTTCTTTTATAATTTTCTAGAGTTTATATATAAATATATACGTACATAAAATGTCCACATTACTTACCTATAAAGTGTAAGAATAGAAGTTCCATTATGATGAATTGTGTTTTCATCATCATATAAAAGCTCTGCTTTGTTTTTGGTAGGAGCACTAGCTGCTTCTTCATCCAAAAGAACTAGTAAAGTTTTCACAGTATCTCTGCCACAGTATGCAGTGCCATGGTTTATGGCATAAGATTTTGGCTAGAACAAAAAATCATTTTAAGTAAATGTAATAAGTAATTTTAAGTAAATGCTGTGTGAATTGGCTACACTTTTCTGTTTCATGTACCACTGTTCCCAATTCCTCTATTGTTAAGGTAACAACAACAACAACAACAAAATCGGCAATGAGAACTGGCTGGAAGTCATGTGAACATTTCTCCCTTTAGCCATTACTATAATCAATCTTATCAAAATCCATGTTTACAAAAATAGATGTCTTCAAAAGAAGACATTAGGTTCTACTAAAAATAACATTAGGCTTTGAGTCAGAAAAATTTAGCCACTATCTAGCTATGTGACCTCAGCCTCACAACTCAATCTCTCTGTGTATTTTTTCTCTTATGCCAAAGAGGAATGGGGTTCTGGCAGTCTTAATATCAACTTCACAGATGATTCTAAAGATCTTATCAAACGCAAAAATGAAAAGCTAGTTGACTTTCATTCATGCAATAATCACCCATAAGCATATATTATGTACTAAGCACTATATCTGAAGCTAAACCTACGAAGATGAAAACTACTGCCTTCAAAGAAGCCATAGTCTCAACCTTAATAAGATAAATAAGTAACCAAATAATTGCATTACGGAATGTCAAGTACTATTTCTAATAAGAGTATACATGGTGCAGTGGGAGGACATAAAAGACAGTAGTCAATGTACTCTGGAATCAAAGATGGCTTTACAGAGTAAGAAATATACAGAGGTAGGAGAGAACATGGCACTTCTAGGGACCAGGTAGCATGACATGGCTGAGGAACAAGGTAAAAGGGAAGGAGTTATGTAAGACGAGCCTGAGAAGGCTTTGTATAAATATCATGCAAAGAAGCTGTAAGTCAGTCTGTTACAGAGGTAAAATCTCTTGCTTTATTAAGCAAGGAAATAAAATGATCCGATTTGGATTTTTAAAAATCTTGGGCAATGCAAAGGCAATATATATAACCAAAATGTTTGTACCCCCATAATATTCTGAAATTAAAAAAAAAGAAAATAAATAAATAAATTGGAAAAAAAAATCAATGATGGCAATGTGTTAAATATATTCCAGGGTAAGGATGTTACCAAAGCTGGAGACAGGGCCACAAATTAAAGACTGTAATAAATCAGATTAGAAATGAAGGGAGCCCAGCTAAGATACTAACAGTAGAGATTTTAAAAAGCAGATTAAAAAGAATAACTGGAATAATTTAGTGACTAGATAAACAGAAAAATACATATATATGTATATATGATATTACATATAGATACATGTGAGCATAAACTCTGAAGGCATTTCTGACTGGATTTGATACCATCGTTGTATATATTGTATTACCCTGAGGAAGATGTTTAACCTTTCTGTGCTTAAGTTAAACTCATTGGCATAATATGGGCAACAATAATGTCTACCCCATAGGGTTGTTGGACATTATGCCTAGATATCAAAGCTGCCTTTCTGGGACATCTATTGTAGCTATGCCAGTTTTCTCAGCTTTCATCAACATGATCTTGGCCTCCTTTCTCTACTTGGCAGACTCAGGCTACCAGGTGAACTATAATGTATAGCTCCACTGAAATTATTAAAAATTACCTATCACAATATGGTGCTTAACACATATTTTTCATTGGTACCATAGAAACCATATTGTTCAATACTAACTTCACTGAGTATTATTTAATTGTGTTTTTCAGATTTCTGATTCCGTTGAAAACATAAAATTAAGAACCAGGTTGCTTGTATCTTTATTTTTTCTGCCAGGAAAGGGAAGAGACTGATGTTCTTAATTATCCGAAACTGTGACAGTTCCTGAGTTATACTTATAGTAATAATCCGGTTTTCATTTGAGCCAAGCTAGTCACCAGGAAGTGTTAACAACCATGAAATACATGGGGCAAAATCCCAGAATCTCCCCCATGCAATTATAAAAACAAAGTAAATCTAAAAAAATTATTATAGAAAAATAATTTAAAATAATCCCAGAGGGCTGGGATAAATGAATGAATAAATAAGTAAAAATTAAACAAAAGACTTTCTTTATACACTGGCTATCATGTCCACACCTAAGGGAAAGAAGCTTTTATATTAATTGCATAAACTACAATAAATGGTTTATAATATATATTCCAAAATTCTGTGCTACAGTTAAAAACATAGTCAATGTTTCCTTTAATACTGTAGATTAGAATCTATATTTGATCATCTGTGTAAAAAAAATCAAGAAAAGGGTAAATGTTCTGGAAACATATGTTAATAGTTAAAAGACTCCAGGCATGGGGAAAATTTGGTTGCAGTAGGCTGGAAATGGAGGTAGAAAATAAGAGCTCATAGAGATCCATAAAAGAAAAAAGTAAACTGCTGATGAAAACAATTCCTAACAGGACTATTGCTGTCCTATCGTGTTTAGTATTAAGGTCAAAACCAGAGAAACCAGGCTCCTATTTTATATCTAAATAAATGAAAAAATAGTTGTTTTATAAGAATAATTATTGAAAAAATACCACAAAACACCTTAATATCCATCAAGAATTATAAGTTTGTATTGCTAAAAGGGATACTGGAAATTATCCAATGCATCACTTTAACAAATACAGACAATTTGGCCCAAAGCTGTTATGATTTACCAATGTTGAAAATAATCTTACATAATCCTATTGAGAAACTTAAATTTTCAACATCATTTTAGAACACACTCTTCTGAATTAAACAGCAATAGTAAATCATTTCTACAATAAGTAGAACAGATAATGTTCTGTAGAGGAGGATAATGAAAAATCAAAAGCTCATTACCCGTGCAGGACTGATGTCAGTGGTGCTAACAGCTACACCTCCTTGTTGAGAATTGATAATATTTTTAATCCTCAAATCCAAATCCTGAGCAACTTCCTCTGCTGCTTTACAGAAAGGATCCCTGCTGTTATGGCCTTTAATCAGCTGCATCTTTATCACTGACAGAATTCGACCCCCTGCAATGCTGAAAATAGAAATAAGATTGCCTTCATAATAGTATTGCAAATGACAACATGCTTATAAGCTTGAAAACATAGTTCTCAGAGTTAATCAACACTTTCCAAAGAATATAGCTTTGATCTTATAAATCAAACAATAAAGCATTTAAGAAAAAGATGAGAACCATTAGAAACAAAATTTTCAAAGTATGTCTAAAAGCCAGTCATTTCAATAAGTTGCTTCTTCCTTGAATTGAAAGCTGAAGGGAATTTAGTTATATGTGAAATCTGACAATGGATTCAGATGCAGCTGTACACATGCACTATGCTTAAAATATGTACCTTTAGATACAATTAACAAAACCAGCTACCTCTCATGAATACTAGAATCATACATTAATTTAATCTTAAAACCAATTCAATAAATTGGTATTATTACTCCTAAGTCAGAGATAAAAAAACTGAGTCTCATAAAAGTTAAATGGCTTGCCCGAGAATACAAGGTATTCTGGGCTAGGGAGAAGGTGGGGAGGAAGGAGACTCACCTGAAACACATGATACTGCATTCTATTAAGTGAAGGGTTATCATATGGAAGAGGAAATAGAGCAAATTAGTACTGACCCAAAGTCAAACCAGAAACTGGGCTAACTGAGGCCAAGAGAGAAGTATTTTAAAAAATCTGAAATGAATGTTTCCTTATCTCAAGCTTAAACCTGAAAGAATATGTTTTAGCTCCTGCTCTAAAGGACTGACATAGAACCAAAGTGAGAAACATAGGGGGAATTTTGGTTCATTTTAAGGAAAATATTAGAGATGTCCAACGACAGAAGAGGTCTCTTTTTTAAGTCATGAAATTCCCATCCCTACAGGTATCTCTGGGAAGGCTGCACAGTGCCAAAGGAGAGAGTGGTCTGGTCTGACTATGGACCATGAAGTCAGGCTGCCTGAGCACACACTGCAGCTCTGCCACTTTCTACCTTGGGTATGCTATTAAACTTCTCTTTTGTAGTGGCACAAAGGATATTATGAACTGAAGTTTTCACTCTCACTGCCTTATTGCAAGGTTTTATGTTTTAGAGAAATGCCAGATTACCTAATGAGCACTAGAAATTGGATTGTTCACATTTAATTAGCTGGTCCAGACAGAAAAGGAAAGTTGGAAGATAATCATAGAGAAACTTAATGCATGGACAATAATGCATTTTCCTAATCATCAAAATCATATTCAGCATTTGTTTAAAACATCAACTCCAGATCCTATCCTACTGAACACAATCTCCAGAAAAGGGCACTAGAAGTTTGCATTGTCTTAAAAGTTCCACAGGTGATTCTTATGATTAATTTCATGAAAAAATTAACACCTTGAGAAAGGAACCATATTTTACTAATCTTCATATTACCAGCTTACACTTGGCACACAGAAGAGTTGACTGATATATGTTTGTTGAATAAATTAACACTATCACAATTCAAGACAAAAAATACATATTTTACTATTATTCATATTATTATTATTGTATACAAAAGTACTTAGGAAGTGTCCAGTTACACAATGGCAGACTAGATATTCCCTAACATTTCACTGATGGTAGCAAGTATGGAGAAAATCTCCAAGTACCACCTAATCTCTCCCATGAAAATGAACAGCAAGAGCTGGAAAGATAAGCTGGAAGTTGTGAGTGGTAAGCAAGCAAGATAATGGAGTTTTCTTGAGGACAAACATCTCTAATAGCACTGTGACCAGGGAACAGAGCCTTGAGATAGCAGTAGGTGGAAGAGGGCAATCGGAGACTTTCACATTCAATCTGAACCTTCCAAGGGGCCAGAAACTAGCATGTCTTTTATTAGACTCATTCTGTGTACTTAATCCTCAGAACTTTTTCTATTTAGTAATGATGCAGAAATACAATTGCTTTTTTGTTATTGACCTTATGTCCAGCAACACTCAAACTCTACTGCCAATTTTAATAATTTGCCTTCAGATTCTTGGAGTTTTCTACATATATAATCATATTATCATCAAATAGAGTTTGATTTCTTCCTTTTCAATTGTTACATGTCCAATTTCTTTGTCTTATCAGACTGAATTGGACATCTAAAACTATGTTGAAAAGAAATGATGACAACAGGAACTCCTGTCTTAATCTTAAGTTAAATACTAAAACATTTTACCATTATCTAGGTTTTATAGAAATCCTTTTATCAGGTTAAAGCCATTATTCTTAGTTCATCTTTACACTGAGTGATTAACCCTGCAAAATGGATATGTGTTTCTTATTAGAATCCCCACCTTGGGTAGTCCCCAGGCCTTTGTCCTCATCCCCTTAGATTTTAGTAGTTGTAAGAATAGAACCTCCAATTCACCAAATTCAGCAAATGCTCTCAAAATAATAGTTGCCATCCTTTCTTGACTTGCCTCTCTGGTGTTCCTCCTTCACCTATTTTTTGACCTATATTTTCATTACATTTGCCTACTCATCAATGAATTTAAGGAAGCATCTTTAAAATATGTTATCCAGCATTATTAATTATTTTCAATGAAAAAGTCAAAGTCAATCAGAGGACATAGTCTGTCATACTTCTGAAATCAGAAGTCTAAGTAGACTCTAGTAATTCTTTTATGTATACAAGTACTTCCTTTTTTCAGATGGTTTTTTTCTTAATTTTCACTTGAAAGGACAGATATGAATTGGATGAAATATAACTAAAATGAAACCATAATTAACATAATATGCTTTTTCTGAGAATTAACCTCTAAAAGAGAAGTTTTCTAAAAGGTTCAAACAGTTAAAATATGAAAGAGTGTTATAGTGCCAATTACAAGAACAAAAAGAAATGCTTCAAATGATATTAAGAAAGTCACCTTTGGCCTCCTTTTCTCATTTCCTTTTACTAGACAAAAATGCTAAATTTTAAAGATGATGTAATTCACTGACTAAATGGTATTTAGAACAAAATTTATAAGAATTGTATTTCAGAGACTTGCCATAGTCAACATTTCGAACCCCTGGCAAAACACCCCAAACACCAGTGTTCTGTCTAGTTTATTGCTATATATTCACTATTAGAGCCAATCATTAGGTCTTCTAATATCTGCTCGGTAATATAGTATCTTAATTCAAACTCTTGCTTCCGGAGCCTAGAAACACCATAAGTGTTAAATAAAATGATAACAGGATATTTGTGCTATTCCTTGCAGATACAAAATGAACAAAACCTTTCTCTTTAAGGTGCCACAACTGATCATACGGTAATGAGATACTTAAAATATAGGAGTTTCACTGGGGAAAATAGAAAGAAGGAGGTATTCAGGAATTCTTCCCAGATGATACATTATGACTATTCTGGATAAACATTAATAAGAGAATTTAGATGAGAAAGAAGTAAACTGTACCTCCTAACTCCTAACCACATCATACTAGCACAGAATAGTGTGTGGCAGAAAGAGAAAAATAAGGCTACTGATTAAGAACACAATTAAATCCCTGAGACAAAAGTAGAGAAACTGGAAGAGAACACTAAGGAATAATATAAAATGATTGGTAATTATTTAACATAATTATTGACCACATTTTCCTAAAGTGACTGGCTTTTCTGTATCATATTCAATAATTCCATAATTATTTGCAAAAGTAAATTTTACCTTTAAAAATTAAATATGAATAAAGGTACCATATAAATGTACCAAAAATATTTCTGAGATATTTTTAAATAAGAAAAATCATAATATTAGATTAGACTGAATAATTTCATCCAGATTTAACATTCTATAAATGTATATTTAGTCCAACATGTATAGTCATTCACTGTATAACGACTTTGCAGTCAAAACAGACCACATATATGATAGTGCTCCCATAATATTACAATGGAGCTGAAAAATTCCTATCTCCTAGTGATGCTATAGCCATTGTAGTGTCATAGTGCAACACACTATTCACGTGTTTGTGGTGATTCTGGTGTAAACAAACATATTACACTGCCAGTCATATAAAAGTATAACAAAATAATTATGTACAATATATACTTGATAATTAATATCTTACTGATTTACATATTTATTACACTATACTTATTATTATTTTAGCATTTACCCCCTCTACTTACTGAAAAATGTTAACTAGCCAGACACAGGAGCTCAGGCCTGTAGTTTCAGCACTTTGGGAGGCCAAGATAGGAGGATCACTTGATGCCAGGAGTTCAAGACCAACCTGGGCAACATAGCAAGACCCCGTTCTCTATCAAAAATAATTAGCTGGATATGCTGGCATGCATCTGTAGTCCTAGCTACTTGGTGGCCTGAGGCAGGAGGATTGCTTGAGCCCAGGAATTCAAGGTTACAGTATGCTATGAACAGGCCACTGCACTCAAGCCAACAAAGTGAGACCATGTCTCTAAAAAATAAAGATAATTTTTTTCAAGTTAACTACAAAACAGCCTCTGGAAAGTCCTTCAGGGCATAGTTCTAAAGGCACTGTTATCATAGGAGATAACACCTCCATGGGTATTATTGCCCCCTGAAGACCTTCCAGTGAGATAGGAAGTAGAAGGCAATGATATTAATGGTCCTGATCCTGTAAGGCCTAGACTGATGTGTTTATGTCTTAGTTTTTAACAAAAGTGTTTAAAAAAAGGAAATTTTAAAGAAAGAAAAAAGTTTATAGAATAGAGACACAAAGACAAATATTTTTGTACAGCTATACAATGTGTGTTTTAAGTGTTATTACAGACGCATCAAAAGGTAAAAAAAATTTAAAAGTTTAAAAGTAAAAAAGTTAGTGAGCTAAGGTTAACTTATTATTGAAGAAGGAAAAATCTGTTTTATAAATTTCGCACAGTCTAAGTGTACAATGTTTATAAAGTCTACAGTAGCATACAGTAATGTCCTAGGCCTTCACATTCACTTACCACTCACTCACTGACTCACCCCAGAGCATATTCCAGTCCTGCAAACTCCATTCATGGCAAGTAGCATATACATGCATATCATTTATCTTTTATACCATATTTTATTGTATGTTTTCT